AATTTAAATATTTTTTATAAATTTGTAAATTGATAAGAAAAAATATTTAATTAAAATATAATAAATTTATTTTTAAATCTTAATATTATAGTATATATAATCCTAAAAGTATATTAAAATAACAGTCATTAGATTTAATATTATTAATAAACTTTTTAATTTATTTTATAATATATGATGTATCAAAAGTGATGATACAGCCTATATTACGCCAAAATGAAGAATTAAATAAAGTGTTGATACTATAGATTTAACAATCAAAATCATCATATTTAACATTATATCGGTCATCTGAACTAGTGTTCTGCGCGAAAGACCCGGTACTGATTCGGATCCGACAACGCAACGGATCGGATCCTGATCCATGATTTATGAGAACCATGGGTTTAAATTAGGGCTAGCGATACGTAGCATAATCTGCGCATAAATCTTATCGTTATTTGTAAACATAATTTGCTGATTTTAATTTTCATCAGATTAATAAATATTTATGAATTGAATACAATTTACTGATTTTATCAACCTGTTAAAAATCTTTATATTCCAACTAAATGCGAGTGAAATAATTTGAAGTGTATTAGGTAATGGTAAATAAGTATTTATGGGCATGATTGGTGAACAATTTCACCAATTAGTATTAATAATTCATCATTATACTCACAGAATAAATTAAAAACAAATAAAAAATATTTATGAACTTGAATTGCTAATGTTCTTTATACTTATTTTATGATAATTAAATTTTTATTATTGATATCTAAATTACAAAATATTATGATTAAAATTAAAATCAACTTACCTTTAAAGATCCCATTAGAATGACTTATTTCAGCTGATTTTTGGTAATGATTAAATGTTTTGTGCTTGTCCATTTCAACATGATAACAGTAAAAGTCAATTTAAAGTATCCCTCCTGATCTTTGATAGTGAACGAATCATGCCTTATTTTCATCCTTTCAACTCCAACTCCATGGGAAATGTAATTTTTGAAAAAAAAAACACTATTTCACGGATGTTATCTCATAATGGGAAAAGTAGTTTAAAAAAAACCCCCCATTTCACGGATGCTATTTCATAATGGGAGATGTAATTTTTGAAAAAAAAACATGGATGCTATTTCATATCGATATGTAGATTAGTCAACTAATCAATTGTGTAAAATAGTAATCGATTGGCCTACCTTTATGACTTTTGACATTCGGATACATCAGAATAGATATCCGGATGCCATTTTTGTTAGCGGATGTAGGTTATGCGATGCGATAGGGTAAATTATGCTGGCGAACTGAGGTCAATTATGCGATGGATGCGAATTATTCGATTTCTTAATTAGATTTTGTCAATTATGCCGAATCTTCAGACTTTTTCAGAATTTTTTGCTCCACCCTCTCTCGGAAGTTTTCAGAGTTGCCACTTATCAACACTTTTTCTGCCAACCACATCTCACCCACTTTTTTCCTTAATTATGCGATGCATATGCGATGCGAACAAATGGACAACTATGCGCATCGCATAATCCTGGACACCCTAAGCGGATGTCCACAACACTTTTACGTCTAAGCCACAGTGTATTAAAGTACTTAAATTTGTGTGGCGATATGTCCGAAAAATCTTTTTCAATTGCTACTCCATAACAAATAAGCAAAGAATAAAGGAAAAGAAATAAAAACTAAAAAGTTATGATTTTTTGCATATTAAGTCTGTAGCAAGATTCTTAGCGATTTTGGATGTCTTTAGATGGCTCTAACCATATCTAGATTGACATTCGGATCCAAACAATAATTTCAAACAAATTCTTTATTTACGCTAAACACGTACCCATTTATTTTCGCGCAATTAATTTGTTTACAAAATTAAATTTCCTTTTTTTGGGGGTTGTATTACTCGAGCAAGTTGTAAAAGATTATGTGACCAGTTTTTGGAGGTCGCTTTTGAAGACTGTTTAACAACTATATATTTTAATATACCAGTTATATGAGAACTGTAAAATAAAAACCTGCAAACGAAATTTTAAGTAATCACTATAGAGAATTTATCATATTATAAGTCATCTAAACAGTGATAAATTAAAAATTCTTTTATAGATAGGAAGAATTGCTAGGTGAACTCGATTCATCTTTGTATTGTACAGATTATTTAAAATTACTAATATATATCGATATTTAAATTTTTTTAGATACACATTTATAAAATTTAAATACTTTTATACAGGTTATTGCAATTAATTTTTTATCACATAAAATTTTGTTAAGTATCACTTATTTTATTATTACTAATATTATTGTTTGTATATTATATATTATTAAAGAATTTATAAAACTAATTTATTTAAATAAAAAGCTATCGAACACACAAACAAACCAACATATATTGAATTACCAACAGTTACGCTACGGAAAGCACCTGAAGGAATACCGGTATTAGCCGTAGTAGGAACGGTGGGTGTACTGGATGCAGCTGAGTCGGTAGGAGGAGTAGTGTAAGCACCGGCAGGAATTGCTGTAGCTGCCGGTGGATAAGGTTCATAAGAAGATCCTACAGGTAGAGGGGATGGAGCTACAGTAGGTCCTACAGGTAGAAGGGATGGAGCTACAGTAGGTTCTACAGGTGGAAGGGATGGAGCAGTAGGAGGTGTAGTTGGAGTTGGTGTACTTTTAGGTTTATCAACTGAATTAGCGGCTGAAATTTTTTTGACAAATTTAATAATGAAGAAAACTTGAAGAAGACGTGATGTAATTGTTTAAATATTTAAGATCTTACCTCCATCGACAAGGAAAGAACACAACAACAAATTCAGCAGGCATAATGCCAAAACAATGTTTATTTTTGAAAAGCTCATTGCGATTTATTATTTTGTCTGACAAAATTTCTTTGTTGGTGGTGAGAGATTATTATTAAATATTAATTTGACCAAGATTTATAATATTTAATATTGTATTATTTCAAATCTTGGAGTTGACAATTGTGAGAAATGGAAAGTAGAAAGTATGGCTTTTTATATACAAACATAATGAATAGTTTTAAGTATAACTATTATCATATATAGATATACATCGGAAAGTGCTGATATTCACATTGGTTAATTAAAAAGATCATTAAAGATTAGCAAAGCTTTCATTTAATTATAGATAGTTTTTTCATATTTTTGTCATTAAAATAACTTATTGAATATGAAATATAGTATAATTCTCGAGTAAAAAGTAGGTTATAATAAGCAGATCGACAGACATTCATTATTCTATTTTATACGTACTAATCGCCAGCTCCCATACAAAATATGATTGACACATATTAACATATTTGAACTTCTAACAAAATCTAATAATAATCTTAATAATTTTTATCTACCCTCAAGTGTATC